GCCGGCGAGGGGGCTAGCCGGGCTAGCGCCGCCTCACGGTGCCAATGCCTGGGATACGGATCGCGTCCAACTTAACACTCATCGCAACCTGAATCAGAACCAACCGTCGGTCCCTCCGTCTCACAATCTAGTCGGTGGACATAATCGCCCGCAAAATTCGGATTGTAAGAATAAGGTTTGTGTTACGTTTAGAGTATTTTATAACCTGAACCATGCTATCTTATCAATTTTATCGTATGTTATAGTATTCTTGTAATTCGTTAATCGCTCATTTACTGTTGTTTATTTGGTACATTTCTTGTATTATTAACTCTTCAACGACGAAGCAGTTTCATTAATAAACGCACTCCGCGGATGGAGGATTTCCGAAAGTGAATAAAAGTTTCAATGCCTACATCGTGAGAAGTGATCATGTAGAAAGTATGCTTTCTGTACTTTAAATTCGTATAAAAATATCTGATGATTTTTCAAGCGTTATTTACAAAAGTGATTTTAAATGCGATCATGGCACAATGCGTGTTATCGTACTTCCGACGATAATATCTGAACAAATTAAACACGTGTTATATACGTCGCTTGTCACCGATAGGTTTATGAAAGTAATAAAAATTTCAGAATTGTTTGTTATAGTCGACTTTTAACTTGAAGTTTATAATGTTATAATATTACAGATTAATGTAGATTTATAAATGAATTATTAAATTTCCATAATATACACATGCTATGGATCAATATTCAATGAATATAAAATTATGATAACTATATTAACTAATGTAATAGTTTTACAAGTTTATAAGAGATGTATTGACACATTTTGTATTTATAATTCGTAATTACAATTGTTTTAGGATGAGAAGGATTGTTCAGAGGATAAGCTACAAAAGTGCGGATGTCAGAAACATGCATGTACATCAACCTGTGAAGTCAAATTGGAGACTCTTTCACCATCTGAAAAGCTAGCAGTAACAATATGTTCAAGTAACAAATTTCATAATTTTAAGTTGGAAAATAATAATGTGAAATGTGAATCCTGTAGTGTGGAAATGGGCGACAATGTGTCCTGCGTTGCAAATTGTAACGTTAAATGTGAATCAGATTACAAGTGCGATATCATGAAATGTGAACAATGTATGAAGGAAGGGCAAATGGCCATTCTTGAAATTGATAAAGATTCTGGAATATTACTTGATGATAAATTGGATGCAGATCCAGATGTTAAGGAGGAATTGAGTGATGTTGTTACGATCGATAGTGAAAGCTGGAAAAAACCGGATTATGAGCCAACTGTACAAGAAACTATCGAGGAAACTATAGATAAAGAAAGTACAGAAAAACCAGAAATAGAAGAAGAACATCCAAAATGTCAAAAAGTATCGAAAAGAAAATTATCTTTGGATAGTTTATCCGATAGTAGGAAAAAAAGGAAAGTAAGCAAAAGGACTCTTTCCGTTGGTTCTTCGCAAGATTTGAATAATAGTGATTTTTCAACCAAAATTTCTATACCAATTTTACCACTTATAAAAAAGGTTGATAACAACAGCGATGAAAGTGTTTCGAAGAAAAAACAACCTAAAAAAGATAATCAAAATCACAAACGTAAAGTAGAGTATCCAAATTGTTCAGAAAATACAACAAAGAAGTCAAAAACTTCTAAACAAAGTACAAGTAACAATATTCCAAATTATTTGAAGCGTGCTGCCAGTGATAATTCTATTATGGAAACTATTAATAATGTTATTCAACAAAGTTTACAGATGACACAGAAAAGAGATCGTAAAAGCAAAAATGTTGAAAAACCAGAGAAAAAGAAAGAGGTAAACTTATTGCCAGCAGCGAAGAAGGTTGTTAAAAAAGTTGATTTAGTAAAAGAATTGACATCAGAAAAATTGTCAAAGGTAATTACTAAGAGTAACCAATCCAAAAGTAGAACGGAAACACGAACAAAATCAAGAACACACGAGAAGAATAAATATAAAGGGAAAGGAAAATCCAAAGTATATGAAGCGAAAACAAAGGATAATGGTAAAAAGCCTGACAGTACAACAAAATCTAAAACATATGACATTCAGGAGTCTTGTAAGAAACCAGCATTGATAAAAAAGAAGCGAAAAAATCCGAAGAAACTGTCTGTGAAAAAATCTAGCTCCAAAATCGAAGATTGCTTAGTAGGAAGCGAAAGCCTACTATTAACCAGAAAAACGTTTTTAAAACCCAAATGGAGTAACGGTTGGAGTTGGGAAGGTGATCCATTCGAAGCCAAAGTTTATTTAACGGTAAACATACAACTAACAGATTTATTCATGATATAAAAATATGTTGAACAGCTCTATTTATTTTATTACCTGTCTTAGAATGAAGAATCGGCTATACGCCGATGTTATGCGAGCATGAAACATGAAAGTGGTGATGTTCTAAGACCTCGTGATTGCGTTTTACTAAAAAGTGGCCCACGAAAAGCAGATTTACCATTCGTAGCAAAAATTGCTGCACTATGGGAAAATCCAGATGATGGTTTGTTTCTTAATGGTAGTTGTTAGAGATAATAAAGTAAATTTAAACTAAATAAAACAAATAAGTTTTGTTGTAGGTGAAATGATGTTTTCTTTGTTATGGTACTACAGACCTGAACATACCGAGCAAGGTAGAACTCAATATGATACCGAAGACGAAGTTTTCGCTTCACGGCATCGAGATGCAAATAGTGTTGCTTGTATAGAAGATAAATGTTATATTTTGACATTCAATGAATATTGTCGGTGAGTTATTTCATTTTAAAGGCTCGAAGATATTTTGAGTTCACAAAAAGAAAAAAACTAATTAACTCTAATAATTGTTTATTATCATTATCGACACCTAACGCAGATAAATTCTAGTTAATTCATTGTTGCAAGCACTGTCTATATTTTAACAAAAATACAAAGGTTTAAAGTTTAATATCTCATGATAATTATTGTTCAAATGGAATTGAACAATAATTACAATATAAAACTATAAAAATGTAACTTACTTTTTAATGAATATAACTTGCAACGCAATTTATTTAATGCAGCAGTTAAATATTTTACATAAAAAGGAGTATCAGATTTAAGAAGATAAAACATCTTAAAAAGATAAACATCAATCACAATTTTAATATTATTTATAGGTATCGTAAGAATTTACGAAGAATCGAAGAAGGGTTAGAAAGCCCCGGTTTAATAGTTCCGCCGGGTGATCAACTATATCCAAGAGAAAATCGGCAGCCTCCGATACCAGTACCCTCGGATATGGTTCTCTTTTGTCGACGCGTTTACGATTATCGCGGTAAAAAACTTGTTAAGAATCCTGGATGACTCGATTTTTTATAAACTGCTTCGTGCTGGAACCAATGGAATGCACAAAATTTGCTGCATAAATTGAAACTGAACGTAGGTCTCCCTTCAAGCGTAATAGGCATATTGATGAGATTATTTTGATTTTAAAGATCAATGAATTTTCATCGATGTTTTCGATAATTGTTTTTGAATCTTTATGTATATAGAAAAATGTTTATACAGGTATAAATGCATTTTTTTTTATAATTAAGGGTTACGGATCACGAATAGAATTTTCTACTTGTATGTTACCTATTTTATACAATGGTTATTTGGAAGGTAAATTTCACTGCTTAAAAAGGTCTTACATTTTTAAGGGAAATGAGAAGAAATAGATTCTTGACATATAATGACGCAAAATAGTCGAATTCTTAAAGGCATCAATATAAAAAAGATATATAATTAATATTACGTTAAAGTGGGTAATTATTATATATACTTATAAGATAGATATCGTTGCTTTACTTATTTTCTTACTTGCGATACGATAAAAGTCTTCGATCTTTTATTAATTCTGGCAATAAACATTCTGAAACTCATATCTAAATCTATGACGAAGATAGCATAAAAGTGTATAGAATTCGTTATACCGCACCGCGAGTATCCAAATGAATAATCAAGTTATTGCAATATTCAGTATTGCTTGACAATGAAAATACCATTTGACGTGAATCGGATGTTTACGTGTCAAAGCAATCGGTGCGATCATTCTTTCATCAATACGGGTTGTTTTACCGCAAATGGATACGTTATTAGGGAGATGATAGAATTTGACAATTTTATATAGAGAGTCCTATTTTTTGTGAAATAGTATTTACGATATTTAAACGAGTATTTTTCACATTGGGGATACAAATACGTATATGCTATGTATCATTATGGCGCCCTTCTTGGAGGGGACCTTCGAACAGTTTCAAGGTAGAAATCAAACGCCTGGGGTATTTGACCATCTAGTGAAAATAGTAATGTATGCACTATGCACTGTGTTCTATGGGTGAGATGAAAGCGGACACCAAGCAGGAAACAGAACACACTTCCATTGTCTTACGATGGTTCACGAGATCCATGCATATGCATTATTTTATTACACAGAGATAATGTAAGTTTCATTTTTAATAACGGTCATTTATAACGAAGTGTCGAGAAATGGAATTGATCTGATTAAAATTTAACTGAAACACTAAGTTTCGCGTACTCGAGCAGTTACAAAACTTTCTTGGAAATTATAGAGTTCTAATTTAAATTTATCAAACTGCCATATCACAGTAAATATTTCATAATTCTTTCCGTTGTAAATTTATAAATATCTATTTATTGCTTTTTACGATTTTAAATGAAATAAAATCTTACCGAGTACGTAGAACTATTATTCAAAAAAGATAGATGATTCGAGTGATTTAGAATGATAATTCACATTCGATCACTGCGTGGAATAAAACGGTATTTTGTAAACTTCTCTTTTGTTTTAATGAAATTATATTTTTCTTATTGCAACTTTTTAATCGGAAAATATTGTCCTTTTTAACGGTATTTGTACTCTAACCCGTCACGTACTTGTACATTTCCTATGACAAGCATTAACGTTTATTTAATTTCTTTAGAATCACAATCTCTATTCTGTTGGGGAAAGTGTGGTCATACCTATAATAATCTCCTGTATCCTTATTATTTCGAGTCATATGTTATTCGTTAGCGTCATATATAGTCAATGTATCGCATCGTAGTATGCCAAAAATGTATTTGTGAATTACAAGGAACCTTACGTTAGCCAATAATATAATTATATTACACAAGAGTTTATAATAACGAGTAGTAGAAACCTTAAGAATGCAATTATTTTTACTGAAATTCCAAATAAGAATATCGTCGAATATCATATATTTTTGATTATTTGTTGAGTGGCGGGTGTTTTGTTAGAAATTATATTATTTAAAATTAATATATTGATGATACGATTATTATTTAATACCTAATATATTGGATATAGATATTAAGTTATTTCCGATAGAACGAAATATTGTATGTAGTATAATAGATAGGGGAAGGGCAGAGCGCCCGTGATTGTTCCTGTCCTGTGTATGCGTGTGTGCGATGCGGAAATAATAATGGCAAAACGTTGAAAAAAAAAAAGAAGAAAGAAACAAAAAGAAAAAAATAATTAAGAAATGCAATATGATAAGGAACATGTTTAAAGATAAAGATTTATATAATATATCAAATCATTTTTTCATTTTTCGAAATCCTTTTATGGCAATTTAATATATTTTATATTTATTATTTTATCTATACCGATCAATTAGATATGATCAATAAATATATTGGTAAGAAAGCATGTTAGCATTATCTACGTGTGTACATACGTAGATGAAGAATTATGTGAGAGTATCATCGTGCGCCGTATGATGGAAGAGAAACGGAGGAATACGAACACGCTTTACCTTTGTATCCCGTTTTAATCGGTAACGATCGAGCCTAAATAAAATGGTAGCGGTATGAACGAAATGCGGCGCATGTAGATGCATCATGTACCGTTCTTGCGATCTTTTACAAATAGTTTTATATTCGTTTTTATCGCATAAGTGAGATCGCATCACGTATGCGACTATGATGCGCCGATGCATTTTGTCAGGATAATCGAAATTGTCCAAAGGTCGAGCCACAACATGTAAACATTGTGTAACTCGCATATTTGTGTAGATCTAACAATAAGCGCGATTTCACCGCTACGCGTCTCTGACAGAAAGAAAGACGAACCAGCAGCTTTTCTTCACTGCGCAAACGAAACAAATATATAGATATACTTCAACGATGGTTAATGTGGGAACATTGCAGAAAAAAACATGAAACAAAAACGTTGCATATCGTCTGTTCATTTAACGTAGCCGACAAATTTTCATCGAGTATATCGACAAATTTAATCGTTTAAGTCTGTAGAGGTATATGATTCGTGTGTGCGAAGCTCTTCAACTTAAACACCCGGCATTCGCTTTAATCTTTAATGAAAATATGTAGAATTTACCGTTGGCGAACGATTAATCAGTGGACTCTCCGTTAATTACGGCGGAGTCTGTTGATTTCTTCATTCGATTTGTCTTCGTTAATCTCAGCTTTTTGCCAATTCATGTATCCCGTAAACGTGTATGCCTTTTATATTTTCAGTATGATGAAAGTCATGTACTTCTTTTTTTTTCTTTTTTCCCCGTTCAGTCAATACACATAATACGCACGTATCTGACAAACTAAACGCTTGGCGATATCTCTTCGCTCGTTTTTAACATATTTTTATGTAAGATACCATGTAACGACAAGTTTAATATCGATCGATGTCGATATCGATTCTCCTTTTACGGTTCATTGCAGTATTATGTATACATAATATTTTTCTATGTATCGATCAGTTTGAACATATAATTGTGGCATACGCGACGAGAATAACAACTTTTATTACTATCACTTTTGTGCATTTTAACGATCATTTTATCGATGATATTGAAATTGAATATCGTTTAATGGCGTTTAAAACAGTCCGGGCAACAATTTCAAATAAATTTTAACGTATAAAAGAGGATATATTTAAGAAATTGTTGTTCTGATTATTTCCCATTAAATTTGAATTATATTCGACATTATAGAAAAATGCTGGTAATCGATTAGTTGAAATACAATTGACATTCATGTGTATACAGGGTGTTTCATGGATTGTAAATTAACCTCTAATGGGGAATTTTAGTACACTGTGCTTTTTGTACTTTGCAAACATATCTTCTTTTATTTTAAACGTATTCTAATCTAATCTAACGAAATCGCCCTCCAGTTTGGTACAATAATTTAATATTTATACAGCTATTAAAAGTTTGTCATAAATAGATATCTCGTAGCGTTCTTCTTTTCCATGTTTCGTAAGTGTATTGAATATATGAATATGAATAGTTTAAAGCATAAGTTATTTAGGAAAATAAAAGAAAAATGTGTCGCTGTAAATTGTATTATCATCTATCTTTTATTTTATTCAATTCTTTATATTTATATTTATGCTTATGTTTAATTTGTTAATACCATTATCATTGTTAGCATAGAAAATTGTGGAAATTGATAGAAACACGCTGACAGCGTGTGATGATAATATTTAAGGATAAAGATACTTGATATTGTTACTATAAGAATAACACATTGTACTATACGTTTACTCGAGGATTAAAACGGTTTGGAATTATCTTTTATATACATATGTACCCATATGCTGTAAATTTATAGCGATAATGCAATTTATAAGTTATGAAACACTCTGTATGTTTTGACGTTTCTGTTCTTTGTTGTCCATAAAAGTTATCGGCTGGGGCCAGAGGTAAAAAGAGAAACATTGTACGAAGCGATCATCGATACTATTTTTATTACTGTCACCGAAAACATTGTCGTAGCAACAATTTAAAATCGTAAATACAGATTTACTAGTAAATATTGAACAGACAAATAATGGCGGGCGTTTCTCTGTTTTATTTGTTCAATAAGCAAGAGAAAAGGAACGCATAGATACGTGATTTGACTTTCCAGACATTTCTTAATAATTACAACGCGTGGCTTGTTAAATACGATAAAGAGACTTAAATATGTATAGAGAAAGGAAAAGCAGGAAAAGTGTGGTACATACCTATTACGAGTTTTAATATATTTAATCACATTAGAAACGTTTCTACAGTTAATTTCTGTAAATTGCAGTGCAAGGTAAGTACTACATACCTATATATACATTTACCATCTACGAGTACCTACGTAACATATAATGCGTGGACTATGCGGTAAACGAGGCAGTTTTAAATCGCAATCGATATAGTTTTGTATAAGTGATATTACACAAAGTTATTCGATACAAAATGTATTAAACAGAACTATCTATTGGAATGTCGATGTTTTTACAGCAATGTAGACGGTATAAAAAAATATGTAAAATTAAAATGAAGCTTTGAGCTTGTTCAATTAAAAACGTTCGTAATATTTTATGTACTTTAATCGATATGCATTGATATTTTACGTGATGTACAGTTTCATTTATTTTTTGTTATCATCTCTATCATGTATTTTTCGTATTTAGGCGCATAGGCATGTATAAATTTTGAAAACCTAGAATTGTTTTTCCTCTTTTAGATTCAAATATCGTTCACTCAAGTTTTTATTTTTTTTTTACAAGTTTGATCTATCGTTAAAAGTTAAGCAGTTCGTGGAAGAACAGAAAAAGGAAGAGGACGCGTTAGTATTAAATTTAAGTTAAGCACCGGAAGTTCGCTGAAAGACCTCCGGAAAGAGGGAAAAAAGGCCAAACGAAAGATATTCCGAGAGGTATAGGATTGGTCATTTGTCGATCGGTCTAAAGTCTAAAGTTTTAATCCGGACCAAGATGCCTAAGCCGAAAAGCCTAAAACCGAGAATGTCATCACGCCCGCTCGTGCTCGCCTAGCCATTCCTTCAGATTACATTAATTCGATTAACGAATGCCGTTTATCGTGCACGCCCCACGTCACGATCTTACGAGAATATTCTTTTTTTCCTGATTGCCATCTGAACGATCAACCTGGAGCCTGGCCAAGCGATTTAATTCTCCAACTGAGAAAGTTTGAAATTTCATTTTTCATCCATCTCTATCTCTGGCAATTCTTTGTTCTTGTATCGGCAATACCTTTATAACATTTATGCAAATGTCATAAAAACAATAATTAGGTACACGTTATCTATTATTGGTAGAAATTAGGTATTTGTCTATATACGTATAGCTACATAAGTGATGATTTTTTAATTATTCGTATGAAAGTATTTATACACGAGAGATATCTGTTATTTTATCTGTTATGTTTTTCTGTGTCTAATAATCAGGAGGGGAACAATAATAGTTTTCGTATAGATTTACCGAACAACTTCATAAAAAAGGGAAAAGAATGGAAATTAACAATCTTATAACGTAATAAATTTTATTTGAATTGCCGCTATGTAATAAAGGATGTTTCATAGTAACTTTCAGGCTAGACTCTACACTTTATAACGTAATAATACAGGTATACGTAACCATATATTTATCTTAAATAAATATCCTACTTTTATCTTCGCAGAAGACGCGTAGCGGAGTTTTTACGTAAATAATACGTATATGTATAATAGATATGTATTAGGTTGTCCGAAAAGTGTCTTTCTTTTACAGACCCGGCTTTTACAACGATGCATCTTTATACAAACATGAAACCTAATCTGTCAAATGTTGTGATCTTTATTTCGATAGAACAAAATGCATCATAAATAATTCGATAAAATAATATAAAACGGAAAATGTTGTGCATCCATCATTTCCCTATAAAACGAAAGAAACTTTTCGGACGACCTAATACATAGAACTATTTCAAAATGAAATCGGTTTCTTAAAACGAACGCAGGTTGCTATAGTGTAGAATCTATAAAGAAGGAGACTGCCATTGAATGAATTGATTTGTTGAGTCGAGGGATGAGTTGGAATATCGCGATAATGCTTCTGATACCTTTTGCAAAGAATTTTACTCGTCGAGAAGTAGCTCTTTTCTACATTTGGCAAAGGTTTGCAGGCAAATGTTTGCAGGCAAATGTTAAATATCTCGACCAGATACATCTAAAACTCTAAACGATATGTTCGAATACGTTACTATCTTTTTTTGTATCGCTTCCATAAATAGATTGACCTAAAAAAATGTACGTGAATAAATGTACGTTAAGAGGTAAGACACTCAAGAAATGAAAATAACGTAATAAACATGTAAGTACATTTTTTTCTAATATTTTCTGAAAGTACTCCTATTTCTAACATGTATATTTTATACTTAATATCTCGACAGAGTAACACCATCGGAGACATTATCGTCTAATTTTTACGTTTTAAAATTTTGGAAAAAGAAAAATAGCAACAGGGATAACAAGCAAACAAATGATACAAAGAGTAATTGTAAATCTTATATACATATGTATACCTATGTGTACATGGTTATAGATGGTAGGTATATGTATAATAAAGTTTGTAAAAATTGCAAGAGAAATTAAAAGCACCTGGGAATTAAAATATTCCATTTGAAATAATAAAAATTTCAAAAAATAAGTTGGTAAAACGTGTATTATGTTGTTGTTGTTCGTATTCATATTGTTCAGAGTTACCAAATGAATTCTCTTAGAAAATTTATATGGAAATCCTAGTGACAAAATATCGTACAAGTTACTTATATTCAATCACGTTAGTAAATAACATATAGATATACGCAATCGCAAGGTAATTAACTTATTTTAAGGAGAATAATAGCAACCGCGGTATAGGGTAACTGATTTAACGATATAAATTGTATTCGAGAAGAACGAGGGCAAGAAGCGTAGAAAAATGAAAATATTTTAAGCAAAGTGACATATGCCGAGTATCGATCGATCGGAGATTTTGTAGAAACTACCGATTTTGTTCGTTTTAGAAAATTTGAAGCTGTGTTCAATTGGCGGTGATCGTAGAAATCAACGAGAGACTTTCTTCGAGGTAGGCATCGCGTGACGATCTACGGAAGTTTCGGCCGTTCCCTTTTTATCTTGTCTTTCTTGCTTTTCAACGTCGCGTCGTATCTGCTGCATTCCCGTTCTGCTTTTTTTTCACTCGCCAATTCGGCCAATAGACCCTCGGAGAACCCGCTCCATAATCCATGCAAGCACCAGGACCTGTCTTCCTATCGAATCGATGGAAAGGAAAAGGAACCTTCGTCTCCTTTCTGGCACGACCATTGCGAAACAAACCCTACGCTAAGAAATGCTTTTCTCGACCTCAACCTATTCTAAGCTATAATTTTATTCCCCACTTCGTCGCGATTCTTATCTTTTCGGTAGGCGTATCTCTTTTAAAGGACGACAGATCATTGCTTTGAAAACTATATTTGCACTTGTCGTGTCTTCACGTTTTATTTGTTGCAAAGCGATAAATCGCTATTTCGGTAAACGAGCTACATATACCTATGGTCAATTTTCTGAGTAACACGAGTTATCTCATTCTTTCGTAGTTAAGGGAGAAAATTATAGAGAGTAAATTACAGGAAGGCTAAGGTAATATTACCTTATTGTGTACGGTACTGTTCGTTTTCAGCTGAAAATTGGTGAACTTGTTAGCGATCTAACGCTAACTAATTAACAGGTTAGCAGTGCTAGTACCTTGATAATATCTCCAATTACACGATCGTTAATGAATTAGTTTTATCCACGATGTGAAATTAATAGATTAAACATATTCGACCAATATGTTGTAGCGATTATCGGCTCTTAATTTCTCTATGGCGAATCAAAATTACGATCGCGTATAATCTTAATCAATCGAATTGTCTCCGCGAACAAGAGAAAATCTCGTGACGGAGGGTTAACGATGAAGATACTTAAAGAGCAGATGGATTCGCGCAGGTAAGGCGCGGTCTAAGCGAAAATCGAGCAAAATGGAGGCTCGATCAAGGTTAACGATGATCCTGGTTGAAAGTTGTTGCAGCCCTCCAAAAATTTCATCGGACCAAGTAAGTAAACGCAAGGAGTCGAGGCGGCGAGGAATGATAGGAGGAGGTGAAGGGACGAAAAGAGGAGCGAAGAGAATATCGTTCGCTGGTCCAGTGGTCGGTTGGTTTCCGGTAGCACGGCGCGGCGCGGCGTGGCTGCTGGATCCTCGAAGCTCGTTCCAGTGTGGCGGAACGCGTAGTAGAATAGTGGGGTGGTTGCGAGTAGTGGCGTCGCCGGATTGGCCGAAGAGGAATTGGTCTTGGATGAGAGGATGCGAGCCGACGGTCAAAGGGAAAAGAGAGGGAGACTGAGGCTCGGAGAGCCGTGAGCCGTGAGCG